TGGGTCAGTGTTTGCTGGCTATCGTAAAGCCGACAATTTACCGGTAAGTGTTCCACACATATTGTCATGTCCAACACCTAAAACACACAGTACGGTGAAGAAGTGCTGACCAGCGTCCTGTTTGTGTCTTGTAGGTAGCCATCAAACACATCTCGATGGACAAAGTGTTCTATCAGCAGAGAGTAAGTGAGCAGCAGCGGCTGCTGATGTATTCATCACTACACTCACATCATTGGATTACTGATGAATTCTAGTTTCATGTGAAGCTTCTCTTGCTCATCCTTTTCTTGGTTGTGATGTTTCAGGACCAGAATGGGAAGTTGATACCCGTTGAGGTGGCTGTGATGAAGAAAGTCGGTCGTGAGTCGGTTGATTCGGAGGGCAAGTCGGCACCAGTGTCCCTACTGGACTGGTACAACCTTCACCAGGAAGTAATCCTGGTGCAGGAGAGACCAGTCCCGTCCCACGACCTCTTCTGTCACATTGATGCCAGTGGAGGTTGTCTGAACGAGGAGGAAGCCAAGGTAAGCTGCTGACTTCTCTTCTACAAAATGACCTGTAATGGTTCATGTTGGTCAGATCTGTGTGTTCCACACTTCCCATTCATTGTCAAACAGCTGTGCAATGCATTCTGGGAGCACTGTGTTGTGTTTTGAGAGACGAGGCGTCACGTTTGCTGCTCCTCATTCGTGTAAAGTTAAAGTTTAGGCTACTTTATACAAATCAGTGACATCCATCGTGACTCACCACATCTTGAAACTCACAAAAACCCTTTAAACTAACTTGTTGTTGATCTCAAATGAAGACAGCTGCACCAACTGCATGGCTTATGTCTCACCTCAGATGTTCTCAGAAACACGTTCTTGTGAACTATTTTTTTACAATGTAAGAGAAAGTTTCCAAACAAGAATGTGTGAACTGTATTGTATCGTCTGTCTAGTCACAAGTGTCCAATGTGTGTGTGTATATAATATATATAACTTAATTTATAGTCAGTGTCAAAGGTTCTTCTCTCGTTTCTGCTCCTTTAAGGGTGGATTCCTGAACCTAAATGTCCAGAATCCAAACTCCAAGCTTGAATTTTGCAGTTTAGGCCTTAATTTGTTAGTTTTGGGTTTTAACTAATGATTAAGAAAACATTGTATTGATCCAGGAATCTCTTTGTGCGTCTCTCTCAGATTATAATGAAGCAGCTGGTGGATGCAGCAATACACCTTGAGAAAAATGGTGTTTTCCATCGGGACATCAAGTCGGAAAACATCCTGATTGAGACGGGCTCGGAGGTTCCACGAGTTCGTCTCATCGACTTCGGTCTGAGCTGCTTCTCTGAGAGACGCTCATCTTACAGCGTCTTCTGTGGTACGATGTCTGGCTTCTACTCTGACCGTTTGCTCATTTACCAATCTGTGACTTTCAAACAAAGCCTCTCCTGGTCCTCACCGTCTTTGTCTGTATCTTGTAGGCACTCGTGATCACTCCCCCCCAGAGTGGCTCTGGTTTGGCGGATACACTGCCGGCCCGACGACAGTGTGGCAGCTGGGAGTGGTCCTGTTTGAAATGGTCCACCGTTCCTCACAGTTTCGGACCATCGACTTCCTCATGGACAGAATCCACATCCGCAGCACACTCTCAGAAAGTAAGAACTCCAAAGACGCCATCCTGTCAGCAGATCTTTGTTGTGGTTCTGTTGGATCACTTTCTTCTCCTTCTTTCTCTTCAGACTGCAGAGATTTCTTAGAGGCGTGTTTGGCAGGATTACCAGAGGAACGTCCAACTCTGGAGAAACTGAAGAGTCACTCGTGGCTCAGGTAACACACACACACACAAACTTTCACCTAACGTTAACTTCAACCTTATTGTAATCGGTTTATTTTTTTGCCATGTATATTTTTATTTATTCATAAATTCAGGGATGTTTAAAAAAAACCCTTCCCAACCCCGTCACATATCAACAGGAAGGGTATACTAACGCTGCTCTCTTTCTTTGACAGGACGTGAACAGCTGTGGCCATAGGACTCTAATTGGACACCAATTGGACTTATTATATGTTATTGCCATGAAAAAAAGGAAAAGTATTTGTCCACCTGCAGACCCTGCAATTACACCAGCCATCCGTGGATAGGGGATCTCTCTTTGAATTGCCTTTCCCGAGGTTTCTTCCCATTTTCCTGCCAGGCCACAGGACTTTGGGGAGTTTTTCCTCGTCTTCTTAGAGAGCTTGGGCTGGTCAGGAGCTGCAGCAGATGTGGACGAAAAGAACTTTAAAATGCTTTTGGCGCTTAAATCAGAAAATAAATTTGGATTTAATTGGAATCCAATGAGTTGATATTTTCTTTACACTGCAGGTTGTTGCACTCTTAATGTTTTTTTGATTTGAGGTTTGATTCTTTCACAGTGAAGGACGTGTAAAATAAGTGTATAGTTTCCTGTTGTGATTTTAAGTGTTCGGGTTTTTAAAAAAAAAGACCGGTGCATAGATTGTTTTTCCTAAGAAAATACACCTTACCTTAATGTAATGCTAGTAATCATAACAATAATGTTAAAGTGTTTGGTTATGCAATATACAGTTTGGAGGAGTCACATCACATCATGACCTTTATAACCCCCAGCTTGGACGCATACCAGTTTGCCTACAAGGTAAACACGTCAACAGAGGACGTCGTGAACACAGCGCTGACCCACCTGGAGAAACCAGGGAACTACGTCCTATATATATACACACATCCTGTATATAGAGTTAATTTCTTTTTGCTTGTTTTTATAAATATATATATTTCCTTTATATTGTATATAGTGTTTACAAAGTTTTTATTGTTCTCAAATTCTTATATTTTTGCACTGAAAGGACTGCACCTTCGTTTCGTTGTACTTGTTACAATGACAATAAAACAAATCTGAATCTGACATGGAAAATAAATTGAAATAAACTGATATGTTGTCGAGAAAAAAAAACACCAACAAATGAGTTGAAATGAACTTGGGGATAATGTCAATTTAAACACTAGAAGTAATTTAAAAGAACTCGAACTAAAGCCTGACTAACTGGTCTTGATGCAGTAAAATCAGCCTCTGAAGCTGCACTGTGTTGACACGACATGAGTCCATGAAGTGATTTAAACATTATCAGAGAACTCTTGAAATCAACCAACTCTACTGTCTGGTCTTTGGTTAAAAGGTCCAGTGTGAAGGATTTAGTTTAAAAACATCAAAGGAAAAGGTTAGAAGGTCTTTACTTGAGTGTTTGAGAGAAACATGACTGGTGAAAAGAATCTTCTCTCCAAATGTATACACACATTATGTTAGTTGTGTGTATGTTGGCAGAGACAACAAAAGACCTGCAAGGATTTTGATGTTAGTATGTAGCAGCTACGCAGTGAAATAGTTTGACGTTGCCGTTAAGTCGGTCTCAATTCTTTGGTAATACACATACTGACAAAATATATATTATGCTAGAAAAAAAAAAGATTTAGTATGTTCCAGTATATAGTACATAATATCTCATTTTGCATGAAGCAAGTTGTCATGGTTTTCTGTTGACTGAACATCTGCAAATCCAAATGTCCATTTAATAACGACAACAGCGAGCCACCACATGGCGTCGCTGACAGAAAAACTTCCAAGAGGAGTTCTTCCCTGGACTATCCATCCTTGGTTTGTGTACATTTTGTTGGGATCAGGATAAACTTGATCCTGGCAGGTTTTTTTTACTGATAACTGACAAAAAGCATATTGACACTGTCAGAGGAGGAAACAAAATGTGCTCCAGCAATTGTGCTGAGCTGTATTTGCCTATTTGAAAAACAAAAATCCTCACAGTGATCAGGTATAAAATCACCGACCCTGAAGGCAGGTCTGTACAACAGTTCTTTTGAAGAGACTATCATCAGACAATGGATGAAGGCTGGGATTCAGGTTTGCACTGAAGGGCTCAGGGACACTGCAGTCTGGATTTGACTGGCTCTAGACACAGAGAGGTGGATTAATCAAAAGAGCAGATCCAAAGTATGTCTTTGTCCAAATCATTCTCTGGTTTTCTAAAGAAAAACCCAGATGGACTTTGAGTTATAAGGAGGAGCCCTTCCCCTCTCGTGTTAGGGAGAGCAAATCCTTGTATTGTTTCCTCTCAGCTGCTGGATGATGCAGAAGGGGATCCAGTTCCTCTGACTCCTGTAAGGTGGGTTCATCAAAGACAACCAGTTCATTGCCAACTACTGGTCCTTTACTCCACAGTTCAATTTCCCTCAATTAGTTTCTGCTAGAAACAAATTAATATGAGGTACATCGCTTAAAGGGTCCCTTATATTGCCTCTTTTCAGGAAGTTAATCAAAGTTTCACATGTCCCCAGAATGTGTCTTTATGCTTTTTTTCAGCTTTTCTCAATTTTTCAGCTCAAAACCCTGCAAAGATGGTTCATTTCACCATGACTGTATAATCCCAGGTTTTAGCCCTGTTCTAAACGGGCTGTTTTAGTTTATGTAGCTTTTAAATGGTGTCCACGCCACTTTCAGGAAGAAGACTCTTTGAATATGTGATTGACAGTGTTGAGCAAGCTTCTAGTTTTTTCTCCAAGTGATCATTTTACATGGAAATCTTGCAGAATTCAGAGCACATCAGTTGCTTTTACCTCATGTGTCGGGTCAGTTTGTCCAAAGATGTTGCAAGTTTAAAACCAGTAAGGCCTCCGATGTGACTGCTGGTCAGTGGTGTGCCGTCAGGGCCAGCAAGGCCTTCTCTGCTGGCCTAAACTCTACCAGAATCATTGATTTATGTTGTAAAATGTTCCCATTAGTATTTTAACTATACTCCCAATCGTCTATTATCTTCATTTAATAGCGTGTCTCTGGGCTGTGGTGCTTCCAGCAGTGTATGTTTATATTAGAGATGCGCCGATCAGATACTGGGTTTCGGTATCGGGCCGATACTGGACGAAATGACGGTATCGGATGATTGACTTCACAGTGGTAACTGGCCGACCCGATACCGCCACACACACACAATCCAGCCTTCTGACACATCACGTGTTCGTCTGCTCATTGGCTACAAGTTTCCCGCTTCAGAGAGTGTCTGCAACCNTCCACCTGCACACCCTGCAATTACACCAGCCATCCGTGGATAGGGGATCTCTCTTTGAATTGCCTTTCCCGAGGTTTCTTCCCATTTTCCTGCCAGGTCACAGGATTTTGGAGAGTTTTTCCTCGTCTTCTTAGAGAGCTTGGGCTGGTCAGGAGCTGCTGCACATGTGGACTAAAAGAACTTTGAAATGGTTTTGGCACTTAAACCAGAAAATACATTTTGATTTAATTGGAATCAAATGAGTTGATATTTTCTTTACACTGCAGGTTGTTGCACTCTTTTAATGTTTTTTTGATTTGAGGTTTGATTCTTTCACAATAAAGGATGTGTAAAATAAGTGTATAGTTTCCTGTTGTGATTTTAAGTGTTCGGGTTAAGAAAAAAACAAAAAAAACAAGTCAGGTGGATAGATTTGTTTTTCCTAAGAAAATATACCTTACCTTAAAGTAAGGCTAGTAATCATAAGAACAATGTAAAAGTGTTTGGTTGTGCAATATACAGTTTGGACATGGAAAATAAATTGAAGTAGGATTGAAATAAACAAACTGATAATTGAGGAAAAAACACCAAAAAAATAAGTTGAAAAGATTTTATGTGCAGACATGTAAACTCACATACTAGCATTAGCAGGTAAAACGCACGGCCTGCCACTGCTGCTCGTTAACATGTCGTGTCAATGGGCTGCGTTTTAGTCACCATTTCATACTCGTTCTATTGTGGGAGAACAGAAATTAAAAAAAAAAAGAAAAGAGAATCACTTTATGGGGAATCTCGGTGCATTAAATGCAATATATTGGCACACAGATAGCCAAATAAAGTGTAGGTGTCACTGAAGCACAACAGGCTACTTAAAAACTTGATAACCCACCCAGTCTGTCTTGTTCATTGGTTGAAATCTGATTTAAAGTGTCCACCATCACTTAATGTCCCTCAGCTTCACAGTCTCCACACAGCTCTGGCCTGTGGGCTTGCCATCAAAGCCAATGGTAACGTTAGCCACATTAGCAGCACAACATGCTATCAATAAGAATTTTCATATTGTTGTGGAGGCATTGCCATTAAAAGTATAACTAACCCACTGGGTGTTCAGCTTTGCAAGATGCTGGGAGTGCATGAAGACTCTTGTGTTTAGTCTTGCAGCAACACTTGAGTGTTTTGCTCGTAGCTGAAACATTTTAGAGTTCGCAGAAGCAGCTTTGGAAGGAAAGTAAACTTGGTGGGCTTTGAAGCAGCTGCTCTCTCTGAATGGCTGAACCACTGGGCCGTAAGGGGGCACGGTTAAGCCAAGATTCAGTTCAAAGTATTAGTTCCTCAGTTGTAGCGTAGCACCTGAGTACCTATTTTGTAAATCTGGGAGAAAATCTAGTTGTGGACGGGGGGTTAGTGAATTGCCAACAGACAGCTTTTACTTCACATTCTAACTGCAAAATGCAATAAGAATGGATTTTCAGCAGATGAAACCTTTAAAAACAAGCCAGGCCAGGCTTAAACTCTCTACCAACAGTGCTTCTATCCCCTTGTACACCAGCTTCCCTCCTCCCTGCTTCACGTAGATCAAGCTCCCCCTTGTGCCCGTCGTTCTGGCTGCCTTTATAGAGAAGGGCACCAATGAGTTCATCTCAGTAATTGAGTCCAAATCGCTGGCAGCTGGGCAGGAAGGGCTGATATCCACTCCCACATCTCACCTGGGCATGGTTCCTGTCTCCTGCATGCGCACATAACTGGCCTCCTAATAAAGACAAATGCATGCAATATTAAAAAAGGAAACAAAAATAAAACCAAACCCAAGCTCCCCTCCATCCTCTGTGTGCCATATTTCACAACAATTGCATCTGCAGCTGTGTGACTTTCGCAGCTTATGAGGTGTTGCGCCAGCACATTACAGGACCTCAGAGAGCGCGATGCTTTAGCTGTGCATGTGTG